ACCCTAGAAGCCATGGCCTTCAACTTAGTAGCGATGGCCTCCACCCTGTTTTGCTGTTTTTCCTAGTAGCTTATTGTTTCTAATAGCTTCTTGTTACTACTAGTAAGGCACTTGTTACTACTAGCGTGGCACTTGTTACTAGTAGCTTATTGTTTCTAATCACATCGCCAAAAAAACATCGTGCTAATGTCCAACAGCGATCTGCGAATAAAACACATGGAAGAAACTGGGCGAAGGCGGCGAAGGAGGCGGGAAGGTTGAGAGATGAACTGGAACGGAAAACAAATTGTACCAGTAGCGTCCTCTTGTTCCTAGTAGTAATTCCATGAGCTACCAGTAGCATCCTTGCTCCTTCCTAGTTCTACAAACGTCACAGCTTCACGCCTGCTGCATCTCCATGGAACCAATGGCCCCAAGTCCAGAGGAGAAGTCACCTTCACCTGGACAAAGGTACACGCTTATTTACCGGATATGTTAAACTCCAACCTACTAGCGCCTTCGCCTACTCCCAAAAAGAACACGAACACGATATCTTCGGCGATCTCAGATGCACACTTCCGATCACCAATTTCAGGCTTTTGCAAACCTGAGCGTGGGTCGAAGATGTTGAAGGATTGGACAACAAAAAAACAACCTGGAATCATCAAAAACAACAACACAATATAATATATATATAGATTACTTGTTTGCGGGGGTAGGCCGCTAAGAGGTAGTTTAGCTAGTAGAAAAGGTAACTAGTAGCTTAAGTAGCTACTAGCGCGCTCGCACTAATGATTTTGTTCGTAGATTCTTAGGAAGACTTAACCTATATATATATATTGAATGAATGAACAGGCAACGCGGTGTCTCACACAGGCTTTTTGTTGACGTTTTGTCACCAACTTGCCTCTGAGGTGAGCATCACTGCTGCTGTGAGACCTTTGAAATCGGCCGTTCTCTTTCGATATCGAATGTTCGTTCTTTTTGTCATTTCCACGGAACATGAAGAATAAAGAGCAAAGATAGAACAAATTAAGAACACAAACAGTCTGTCTTGCGGTTCGCTCCCTTCGCTTTTCGTTTTCCGACCAGAGTCCAATAGAAGTGTCAAGTTCGTCCTGAGCGAATCAAGTCGTGAGGTCAAGCGAGAGGGGCGAAACACTTTGTGTACGAAGAGAACACGCCTTCTCTCTCTCTAATAGGTTGGAGGCCATTGCTATTAGGTTGGAGGCCATCGCTATTAGGTTGGAGGCCATCGCTAGTAGGTTGGAGGCCATCGCTAGTAGGTTGGAGGCCATTGCTATTAGGTTGGAGGCCATCGCTATTAGGTTGGAGGACATTGCTATCAGGTTGGAGGCCATCGCTATTAGGTTGGAGGCCATCCATCGCTATTAGGTAGGAGGCCATCCATCGCTATTAGGTTGGAGGCCATCGCTATTAGGTTGGAGGCCATTGCTACTAGGCTCTCTCTCTCTCTCTCTCTTTCTCCCTTCTTCTCTCTTCTCCACTCCTTTTCAAGTTTCTCTAAACATGCACCACATGTGCATTTTATGTGCATTTCAATGCACAGAATTCCACACTGCCATTTGCATTTTCACGAAGTCCTTGGAAAGGCATCTGGTGGCTTGTCGACTGCCAAGAAGGCCTTGAAAAGAAAGAGGAGAGCCGTTAAAACGAGCAATCATTCGAGGAAGTGACGCTGGAACTGCATCTGTTTTTCGGTAATTTGGACGTTTCGAGAGAGTCGCCACTTGTCGTCTGCGCGGTTGGCTGTGCCACCCCACCGTCGCCGAACCACCCGCCGTCCAAACGACACACGAAGAAACGGTTTCTTCACCAGACTTGAGCGGAAAAAATGGTTGCTTATACTTGCTTAGCGTCCTTGTTCTACTAGTAACAAGTGCCTCGCTAGTAGTAACAAGTGCCTTACTAGTAGTAACAACAAAGCTATTTATGGCTGGTTGCTTACGAGAGAAAGAGTAGAGACGATGATCCGAGGGGGGTTGCCTGGTCTGAGAAGGTCTGAAGCACAGAAAAAAGAGGCCAGAAGCACCGGTGGAGGTGAGTCTTTACAGCCGGTATGGTTGGATAAAAGAAGAGTGTTTGAAAAGGTAGGAGACCTGACCAAACAGAAAAGACCTAAAGCCCGAAGACAGTAGAAAGAACAAAACGAAAGGAGATGTCAGAAACACCGAAGAAGAACTGGTTTCGTCTTATGTTTCATTGCATACAGTGGTCGGGTCGGTCATTTTGTGAGGTTCTGGGCGGAGGGGGGCCTTTTTATGGCCACACCAGAACGTGGCGCCACATGACGTGGAACTGTCAGCAAAAAAGTGTCAAAAAGGACCAGCTTCTTGCTCCTAGTAGTATGGCCAGGAGCCCCTAGTAGCTTCTTGTTCCTAATAGCAATGGCCTCCAGTGTTCATCGGTCGAGTCATTTTATCGAGGGTCTTGGTGACCGGGATGGTACAGCTAAGGTGTCTGAGTTATACTCAGAACCGTCGAATGACACGCGTGCAAAGTTGCTGAAAGCCATGCAAAAAGAACGGCCAGTGTGTCCCGTCTCAGTACTGTCACAAGTCAAGTTTCCCGCTTTAGTAGCTAGAAGCGAACTTCTCCCTTAGGAGCAAAGGGCATCGCTACTAGGAGCAACGACGCTACTAGGGGCTCCTGGCCTCGCTACTAGGAACAAGGACGCTAGGCACCTATTCCACGGGCTAAACATATGAAGAACCTTTTGGCGGTTGGAGCCGGACACGCTTTGAGTGCGTATCGGTTGTCGACAAACCCAGGCCACTTCAAGAAGCTTTGGCTGTAGAGGGCTGTGGGAGTGATGGTCTACAGGCGTTCGTTTTGCACAAAGAATAGCTGCTTGAACCTGCCAAACACTGCATCCAAAATCTGAAAAGTGTAAGCGACTTCAAGAAATTCCGGTGTGACCCGGACACATGCGTCATAGAAGCATTATGCAGATGGTTATCCCATTCCAGAGGAGAAACTGACACCCGCTTATTTGCCTTTTGTCCATGTCGGTAGCGAACACTTCTTTCTGAAACTGCGCAATGCTGATTGCGAATGCGTATAGTTTATACTTTGGTCAGTTAATTGTTTTCTTCAGCGAGGAAACTCTTTATGGGCACAAAAAATCCTGGGATCACGGTTTGATGCTGCATACTGCTGCACTTTGAGCGACTTTGAGGTCCAACATCTGCTGGAGGAACGGTCAGCATCAAGAGAAAGTAGGCACCGCCTGCGAAGCTGACGCGCGAGAGGAATGCAAGTCGATTAACAGATGAACACTGCTTTTGCCAGGACCTAAAGCCCATCTCGTGCCTATGAAACGATTCGGCAATTGCAACATTTGGAGCTTTCCTGCGGCAGGATATGAACTAAGAATCAAGAAAAAACAACAATATGATACAATATGACTCTGACACATTATCCCCGCAAGGGACTCCAAACAGTGTGTGTGAGGTCTAGAGGCGTAGCAGCAAAAAGTCTAGAGATCTAGACGCATTGGGGTCCAGAGAGGTGATGGTGGTGAGTGAGAGAGTGTGAGAGTGCATGTGAGTGAGTGTGAGTGAGAGTGAGTCAGAGTGAGTGAGAGTGAGAGCCAGAGTACAGTGAGCGTGAGTGTGAGTGAGAGCCAGTGTGAGCGTGAGCGTGTGTGAGCAAAATGCTGCGCCTGCCACGAAATCTGCACTTCGAGGTTCACAAAGTGCTGCGCTGCCGCAAATCTGCACTTCGAGTGCTGTGCCTGTCACGAAATCTGCGCTTTCAGGTTCACAAAGTGCTGCGCCTGCTAGGAACTCTGCACCTCAAGGTCCACAAATTACTGCACCTGACTTGATTTCTGAGTACCTGCTGCTGCTACGAAATTCAGAGCGCTAGGCCTGTCACGATTCACTACGATTCACTATAGGCCTGTCACAAAATTCAGAGCGCTTCGAAGATCACCACCGTGCCCAAAGCGCTGCGCCCGGCACGAAATCTACAGTTCGAAGTAAAGCCGCTCCGTGCCCTTGCGCCTGTCACGAAAAGTCAACTTTGGACCACCACGAAAAGTGACAACCATGTCCAAAGATGCGCACGGAGCCACAAGGAGAGCGCAGTCGCGAGCCTGCGCAGTCGAAATGCACTTCGAGGATTTCGAGAAGCATGAATTGCAAATAGCAGCGAATTAGCCAAACGCCCCGGTGCAAGCAACACCTCGATTAAAAACCGGACTACTAATGTTAGTGTGTCCACACTGCTTGGGGAAAAAGGTGAGGACTCCTTCAAAAAATGCAATATGTGCAATATGTCCGGGGTGAGGACTCTTTTTGCTGATTCCGAACACATCGGCGATAGGCTCAGAGCTACTGCAGCGATCCTTCAAGCGCTGGTGCTGGCAGAACATCTTTGCTAAAGCGCAAAGTGGCCTTGTGGGGCCAAAGCAATTGGTCTGCGCTGCGACCGATCCTTTTGAGAGGCCGTCGCTATTAGTTTGGAGACCATTGCTATTAGATCTATTAGGTTGGAGACCATTGCTATTAGATCTATTAGGTTGGAGACCATTGCTATTAGATCTATTAGGTTGGAGGCCATCCCTATCAGGTTGGAGGCTATCGCTATTGGGTTGTAGGCCATTTCTGCTAAGGTGGAGGCCGTCGCTATTGGGTTGTGAGTCGGTCTGTGTGCCGCTTCGTCGTTTGGCGAATCAAAGGCGACGAATCGTTTGGTCGACTTCGCTTCGCGCACCTTCTCTCGGAAGGTCTCATGGCCTCGGTCGGCTTCGACTTGTGAAGATATTTACTAGTACAACCTACTAGTGGCCTCCAACCTAGTAGCTTCTTGCTACTAGTAATGCACTTGTTACTAGCAGCGATGCACTTGTTTCTAGTAGCTTCTTGCTACTAGTGCAGGTGTTCCTCTTCAGGTCGACCGTTTGCATTTCTTACACCCACCTGGCGACAGGCGAAGGGAGAGACTCCGCCTTCTTTGGCCTGAAAGCGGGCGAAGACGCCTTCGAAGCAGCGGTCAGAACAGTTCCTCAAGAAAATCGATTAAGTTATCCTAAAAACATCTAGTAGGAAACACATGAATAGTGCGTGAGCTATACTGTGTCCATACTAGTAGCGTCTTAGTAGCTAGTAGCTTACTTCTCCCTCAAGAACTCATAAGTTAAGTTTCCCTAAAAATCTAGAAACCAAATGAATAGTGCGTGAGCTATCCTGTAGCTTCCTAGGTACAAGCTAGCTAGCTACTACTAGCTAGCTACCTCTACTAGCAGCCTACCCCCCTTAAATTGTCAAAAGAAACACCACACTGGGCCCGTTGCCGGCGCCAAGAGTCCAGTCCTAGTGCGACGAGTCGAAGTGCGAGTTGGAACGCGAGTCGGAGTGCGACGAGTCGAAATGAGTCAAAAAAAGAAGCAAAAACCACACAATGAGTCAAAAACCACAGCTTCTAAATATAAAAGGCAACAAAAACCCGAGTTTACACTCTACCTGAGTCTTGCTTTTGTCTCTGCTTTCGAAGCACCTTGGCACCTTGTCGTTCACCCTTGGTTTTCACATCAACAGCTTACCGTTTTTCACCTTCGACATATCTTGGCCGAGGTGCTCGAGATCTGGGAAGGAGGAGGATGGCAGTGAAGAGGAGGACGGTAAGGCCTGATCGGAAAAGCAGTGAGCTCAAAGTGCTGCACCAACAAACAGCGAAGAACTCCCAGTGCTGCTGTTCTCATTTTTTTCTTTTCGCGAAGAGCCTCCGGGATGAACGTGATTCAAATCCCGAGCTCGGAACGAAACCGAACGAAACGGCCTTTGAAGCTCTTGAGGCCACAAAGGCAGTGCCAAGCATTCAGCATAAAGCAATGGTTGCATGTGCGCATATTGAATCGATTTTGAAGAGAAAGGCTTCGACAGCGTCTCTTCAGATCCAGAATCAATAATTCAGCGACCCAGGTCGCATTGAGTTGTTACTTGGATTTTTTGTGTTTTCTTGTGGATCTGGCTGCCGGCTCCTGTCAAACAGCTCCCGCCCAGCCGAAGTCCTAGCAGCAAAGATCTTCCGTGAAACCCCAAATGAAAAGACTACTCTTTGAAAGGCACGAAAAAACGTCCTTCGTCTGCTCCAGTCCTGTCTTCTCAGGGCCGACTCCAAACACAGAACTCGGCCCCGAAGCAGCTGGCCTGTTTCAGCCGACGCTGAGTCGTTTGGCGCATTGCACCATGCAAAGGTCACTTGGATTCTTTTTGAAACAGAACGACTGTTATGTTTAGATAAAACGGTGTCTTTTCCTTCTCACTTGACTTGCTCTGTTCCCGAGCGCAAACAGTACTCCCGAAACGCCTTGACCCTGTGACAACATGTAGAATCAGGTCGTTTGCCAAAAAGGTAAATGGATGTGGACAACATTGTGGCTAGTCCCAAATTCGGTTGAAGGAAATTCTTTCAAGAATTGCCAAACAAAGGCAGGAAACGCATGTTCATCTATTGTTTGGCGTGTAGTAGTGTTGCGGTGATACTAATATATTATCAAGGTCGGGATGGAGCAGCTGAATGTAGCACCATGTAGCGCCGATAAAATTCCGTTGAACTCGCCTTCCAGCCAGCGCCTGGGCTCCAATCGTTGGTCCCAATCTTCAGGGCCACCTAACAGATCCCACGCAAGGTTGGAGGCCATCTTCTCTGGTGCTAACTTGCAGTATGTATGTTCTCTTTGATGATTCGCTGCGCTGCACCTTTCGTGTATCAATTATGTGCTCGCCCTAAAAATCCATATTATACCTTTACCTGAGAACACGGGGTGCAAGTTCAAGGGAAAACCGCGCGAACGATCACCAACCGCAGTGCCCGAGCCTCGCGCCTTTTCATCGACCCTTGAGTGAACATTTGGTCATCCATGCATTGTAATCAATGCCCTGACCATGGTTGGTGCACAGTCTGGATTCCTTTCTCCTCCGCCTTCATGATTTGATCAACGGGCTTGAAGAAATCCGGCCTCAAGAAGGATGCGGTGAGCGAATGTGCATCAACTCCGATTTGCAGGGCTCTAGTGGCCTTGTGAAGGGATCAGCTCTTTGCATACTTGTCTTGCAGTAATGCAGAAGCAGGGTTGCATCCTCGAAGGCTTCATACAAGCTTGAGAGGTTCAATTTGTGAACCTTCTTCACTCGCCTAAGCTTTGCCCAGTAACTTCCACGGGCGATGTGGATCACTGTTGCCTTGTCCCGCGCACAAGTAAGTTTACTGGCCTATCAAAAACCATGTCGGCAAGTTACCGCACCGGTAACACTTCACCGACATCAAGACTGACGGTTTCTGCTTCACTTAAGTGCCTCTGGCTGTAGCGCCTTGGCGCTTTGAATCCCGGCGTAACGGCAACGGCCAAAAACTTTTCGGACCTTCCAAAGCCAACAACATACCAGATATCGACTTGACATCCTCTGAACCTGATGCGTGATCTGCGTCCGTGTAACGGATAGGTTCAAGATTTGCGCCGTCGTGGGTCGTGGATATTGGCCTTCAGGCAGCTGTGCGCTTTAAGTAGCAACACAGTCGATGCAGTCTCTTATCATCGGGTCTACTCCATGTGTGATTCGGCGGCCAAGATCGGAAATCCCTTCAGCAAGTCAGTGCGGCCAAGCCTGGTGCGAGAACCGGCCCCGGGTGCATTTTCAGACATGTGCCCCCTCTCGTCCCAGAGTTGAGCCGGCAAGCGAACCTTCATTCAAGAAAGGGGTGGCTCCTGGCTTGAGAGTGAAGTATAATGAGTTGAGGTTTATCAGACAAGGTCGGTTGAAGCGGTTGAACTCTGGGGGAACCGAATCATCAGGCAGTTCTAGCCCCGTCGGCGCCTTCGTCATCAACCAACTTTGGGCGAGGCGCGAACGACGTCGGACTGACTGGCGCTGTTTCCCTTGAGGCTGCCATAAGCTAACTTCATATGTACCCCTGCTTCGCCTGTAGGATTAACTTTGGCTTCCTGAAAAACAGCTAATTAAGGGTCACGACTGTCATCCCTCTAAACACTATCCTAGCTCTCAGCTGCGCAGCGACGGGCTTTCCCAGTGCTTGATGCTCAGTATTGTCATTTAGCGGCCTACATGCGTCGGTGCTTTGCGATTCATCAACTCGAGCCTAAGACATCACTTCTTTGTAATCCCAAGCGATGTTTGCAAGAATCCCGTCGGCCTCTCTTTGTATGGCTTCGCGCCTTCAGGATGATAGTTGCAGTCTTTCCTGTCGAGCAACCTATGAAAACCAGCATAAAACGACACGTGCATTTGGACAGTTTAAGTTGTGGCGCTTGTCTGCTTGGGAAGCAGCAACAGGCATCACGGGACCTCGCTTGGGACAAGACTTTCGCTGATGGTTCTTGCCATTGCTTCAAGATAGAATGCAGTTCTGGCCGTTTCGCATCTAGCTGCGCGGTCATGGTGAAACCCTTTGTCATGTGAGCGTCGGCGATCGTCGGCGTGCGTTCAAATTCCTGGCTAGTTCATACTGGGGCGTCACGACGATCCAACGCTTCATCTCTTTTTCGGCTCTTCAAGTCGAAGTGACATCAGTGATGCTCTGCTAGATACAGGCTGTTTCCTTTTCGTGAATGCGACAAGTTCGGGTAACTGCCAACCCCCCTGCTTCAGATTTTCTCCAGCTACCTCGATGTAGTTTTGCTGCAGCCGCAGCGCTTTGGTCAAAAATTTTTTTCTCAGCTTCTCGGCGAAAGCCCGAGCGTGTTTGGAGCGACTACCACTTGAACTTCGACCAAAGACCGCGCGGGATATCCCCCCGCAAAAGGAATTTGGGAAAGGTTTCGTCGTGGCTTTGAGTGATTGAATTTTTCATGGTTTGCCAGATCAGAGTTACGCAAGCCTAACCTGAAATTATCTATATACCCCTCAGCGTTCACCCTCCGCAAAGATGAGTCTTTGGAGTAACAAAACTCGAATGCAGTGGGGCTTCCTTGAAGTCTTTTCTTTCTGGCTTCTGAAAAGTCATTAAGTGTCCATTTTCCCCGCTGAAGCGAATAGGGGAACTTTGTTTTTTTTAGAAGATGTTCAAACGCTTTGAGCACTGCGCCCTCAGCCCCTCGGAGATTCTGAGAGACCCTTGCGTTGGCAACTGCGGCTTTGACTTTTATTTTGAGGGTCGAGGTTATCCTTTGGGTAAAATTAAGCAGGTTCGGGGTTCGCCCTAGCCAACTGCTAGAACAAATGCGTTGGTGCGGATTTACTTGCCAGTCATCTGAGTGAAGGGAAATCTTGCCACGACAACCCACGACATTTCCACTGACTCTGAGTCTCTGAGATTGTTCTCTTAGCAATAGTCTCTGTAGTGCGCAAAAACGGACAATCGTTTCTGACAAGCCCGAACAAACACTTTCTTGATCTGACACGAACACGACGCCAGGTGCCCTTATCGTTATCAAATTCCCAATAGTCCTGCTCGCCAACTAAAGGCAACTACAACTTAGCAGGTTTCTTTGACTGGACGGGCCCGGCTGGAATTTCCGGAGCTTCGAGTCTCCAATCTCTGGCCGGTACATGGCGCACTTCAAGTTCTCTGTGGCCCTTCTCCACGCGTTCTTTTTCAAGAAGCACTCGAAAGCGCTCACGATGCGCTTCTGAACAAAAGGTCTTTCGAGTTCTGGTGTTGATGGCTCCTTCATCAAAAGGAAGCGCTATCTTTGGGAGTTCCCTGGATTCACTCCTGGACTTCAACATGTTGGCACCAAAGAGAGGGAACAAAAACTCTTCTGAGCAACAAGTTCAGAGCGATGCTCTGGGAGTGGTCTCCCATGGTTTCCCACAACCTTCGGCTTTTGCCCTCAAACTCTCATAGTCCAACGCCAACTGAACTTTGCGACGAACGTACCCATGGTCAATCCTCCACCCCGCGAAAACCCGGAAGAGTCTGCGGCTCGAAAGCTGGCTTGCTTGTACACTGTGCTGGCTTGTAATACACGAGTGCTCTAGTGGAACTTGGCGCCCTTCAAAGAATCTCCACTGTTGGCTGCTTCATACATTGCGAGTGCAAAGAGGCTTGCCATGGTCCCCAACATTCCAAGTGGCTTGAGGAGACGTTTGGTAGCATCCTGAGAAGAGAAGTCGTCATAACAAATCAGGCAAGTTTCTCTCTCCTTTTCAGTCTTTTGCAAACTCGCTATCCATAATCAATTCGCATTTTGTGTCCAACATGAAGTGGTGGTGTTGCTCTGGGTTTGGCTCGTCATTTTGGCCCCCATGCAAAACTCACTATGCCTGTTTTGGGGGGCATGAGCCAACGAGCGGTTCAAAGAAACAGCTTTCGTTGTGTCATCTTTGCCGCCCGATGAAATTTCTTCATCGCCTTGGGGAGGTTCACCCTGTGGATGCCCCTCGTAGTCGCCATCATCTGGCATTGGTGCTGACTTGGGGGCTACCTCAAGTTTACGCTGGGCAGACTGTTTCTCCACCTCTTTTATGGTTGACTTTGTTGCTTCAGGAAAAGTGATTTATCTGTGGGATCCCCTTTGCTTACTGACCAAGTTCCTGACGTCATGAGAAGTGCTGGCCATAGCCATACATGAAACCATCTCAGACATGATGAAAACTTGTTTCTTTTGCGCGCGCGCCTGCTCTCCAAACAATCCTTTAAATACTTGGGAGGCGGGTCTCGTGCTGCCGAGTGCCCTCTCAATCATGGCCGCTTGCTCAGGAACCCTCTGATCCTTGGCCTGAACCTTGGGTTGCAACATGTCATTAACCTGGCCTTTCTCTGGACCCTTTGGTCGGCTTCCTGCAAGGACGAACTTCTGACCCTCTCCACTTCCTCCCTGCTTCACTCTGGGTTCTTTGAGCCTCTAATAAAGCTTCATGGTGGGCGGCAGCCCTCGGATCCTCAACACCTTCCTGCGCTTCTCCTGGACCCTTTTGGATCTCCCTAGTAGCTTCCTCCCTAGCTGCGTTTGCAAAATGTGACTGACTGACGGCTTTAGCTCTAAGAACTTCCCTAGCCTCAGTCACCATTGGATCCATGCTCACATGCAAAGCCTGGTGTTGATGTGACTCCTGCGTTACTTTTTGTTGGAGCACTGAAGGACCCTTGTTCAGGGCTAGTAAAAGATTCAGAGGATACTCTCGTTATTTGGGGAGCTGGGATTGCTGACCAGTGTGTGAAATCTTTGACTCGCTCCTATGACTGCGAGATCACTCCGAGTTAGCTTCATTGATTTTGCGATCTTGAGTTAGCTTCGCCTGACGCGGCATCCTTTAAACGCGAATGATCGCCCCAAACCGCCGCCCGAGCCTCGCCCCTTTTTGACCCTTGAGCCAACATTGTCGTCCATGCATTGTATTCAATGCCCTGACCATGGTTGGTGCACAAGTCTGCATTCCTTTCTTCTTTTTGTGACAATCTTTTGTTGTCATCTGTAGATGCTTTTTGTTCTTTTGGTGAATAGATTGTGCGCACAAATGCATAAACTCAGATCTTCCTTGCAGCGAATCTCTTGGTGTGCTGTATGTATCGAACTTGCTCGTCAAACATATAGTAAACTATGTGCAGGCGCCGGAACATACAATTCGGCCACCGGAGAACATTGACTTCTCTTTTGTAACTTTGACTTTTGTTCCCCTTCATTCCATTTCATTCCCCTTCTTCCAGTCCGATTCCGGTGGATTCGGTGGAACTCTCCAT